TTCCAAACTTGCAAAAACTGACTTTCACAACTTCATTTCACTTTTGGTTTTCCAAATACCACCTTAGTTAGACTGTAGACTTTGTGCAAGCCAAAAAAATATAAATAAATAAATCACACTTCATTCTCTTGTAAATTTATTGCAAGATAGTCTATGGTTAGTTCTTGAAAGGAGCTTTTTTTTTCTAGAGACTATGCTAAGTAGATCTACAAGGCAATAATATTCATTTGCTCCTTGATCAATCTATTTCTTTTACGGTGTCAAAAATTTACAAGTTTCGAGCATCTAGCATTCATGGTATTTGCTCTGGTAAGTTTGAAGTTTTAATAATTGCGTCTACTTTTATAATTTTATTGAAGCTTATGACCATTTTATCAATCATCTTATTCATTTTGATACATAAATCTTACAGCTTTGTCTGGTTCTTTTGAAAAACGAAGCGTAAACTGATTATATTTATACCCAAATGACATCCTTTTCCAGTCCCTCTCTGATTGGTTAATCATCTAAAATCAAATTAATCATGTTGTATCAAACTTTAAAAAAGGAGAAGAAGATGAGATATATTTGCTTGCAAAACCTCGCCTCTGCAACCAGAACCTCATAATTCCCTTTCAATGGTTGCACTTGCATATTTCTCATCTGAAACTTTCTCATTCAATAGTTCGTCTTTTTCTTATCTTTTTCTTTTTGATCATGTGCCTATATGTGTGTGGGTGTGGTGGTGGTGGTGGGGGTGGGGTGGGGGTGCGTGCGGTTGTGGGAGGGATTAAATTCAGGGAAGGGGTTATATAGAAAAAACTCATAGAGTTGTTATCTGTTGGTTATTCGTCATTGGAGGAAAACAATCAGATGCGTGTATCACTGGGGTATAGGTGTCATGATTTTTTATGTACACGCATCTGGAAACTAGCTGTTTAGATCAAATGGTATGAGAGGGCCTCTGGTAATGGTAGAAACTGCAACCTTCCCTGAACATCTGTTTTCCCTTTTTTTTTGGATGGGAGGGAGCAAGAGTTTGCTTTTATTTAGAGGACAATAACAGTAGTTATATTTCCTGGTTTTGTTTCTACAGTCATCTTTGTCATAGTGATATAAATTCAGGACTTTATTGAAGAGCTTGTTTGTGGTGCTTAATCCTTGCAATTAGGAAAATCCATTCTGTTACTTCAAATTCCATTTGCTTTCTTTACTATTTACCTACTAGTTAATTATGCTGTAATTTTTTCGATGGCAAATATCATTTTCGTTTCTTCTTGATTTGTGGTTCTTATGATGAATTTGTCAGACAACATCATGGTTTCTGTGGCAAGTTTCATCCTCCTTTTAATGTCTAAAAACTTGATTTGTGGTCCTTATGATGAATTTGACAGACAACATCAAGGCGCCTTGCTGACAAGAAAATTGCGAAGTTCCAGAAGAACATCACGAAGAGGGGATCTGTCCCTGAGACAACTGTGAAGAAAGGAGCTGACTATCCTGTAGGACCTATTGTGCTTGGTTTCTTCGTCTTCGTGGTCATTGGATCATGTAATTTCTTTCTCTCTTTAGAATTCTTTTCTTGCTTTCATTTACTCGTGTTGGAATTAGAATTTTCTTCAAAGTTATTCTATGCTTACTTGTGCTCCAGTTTAAAACCCAAACTGATATAGAATGCGTACAGTTTGTAAGCATATGTCCACATGTAGTTGTTTCATATATCAACAATTAAGTTAGATAAAGTCCAAATGCAAAATGATTGTGCTTCGGTAAGACATTCAATTGAGTTCTTCTTGCAAGGTTTAGTATATGTTATGCAACACGTTCCTTTTTGTTTTTAAGCTTTATTATTTTTCAAGATTATTTGTAAATTAGTTGGAGAAGTGGTAAATCTAGAATTTGTTGATGGAGGTCCTTTAGGGAGTGTGAGTTTGATACTAGGTAGACAATAGAATTTAGGAGTCACAAATTTACAAGGATGTTTAGTTGAACCAGACCAGGAGGTGAAAGGGGAAAATAAATTTTGTAGTTGGTGTAACATTTATTGGCTGCTGTAGCACCAATGCAGTGATTTTTAAATATTTGCTTATAAGGTAAGATAAATACTAAAATTTCAAATTTATGATGTCATGCTGATGTATTAGTTGGATAATTTGATATCTGTTCCACATTATTCCTTTCATCCACGGGCATAATCATGAACCTATACCTATAAGAAAGAGATTTGCAATTGGAAGTATATTCCATTTGTTAAATTTACTTGGAAAGTCTGTGTGCATTAAAATCCTGAAAAAAAATTTGGTCATAAAAAGTTATCATGGGTATACTTGGGTAATCTTGGTCAACATAGAAAAGTTTAAGGCCCTTTATGTTCCCCTTTGTTTACATTTGTATGAACTCCCTTTGTATCACCTCTCTTAGATAAGTATATGATGGGGAAATCTTAAATGTGGGTAACTCGGCAGTTCTCAGCAAATTGCCCAAAAAATTTTAGCTTCTTTATTGGTAGATAAATTTTTAGCTTTATTTATCATCGAATATCTGTAATATCAGGTAGAGCGCGTTTAATATTTGCTTCATCCAAAAAGGATTATATGTATAATGTAAGACCTTTGGAATTTAGGCTTGTCTAAAATTATGAACCGGACTAGGGGACGGGGGAGGCCTTTGTCCTGTCAGAAAGACTCATTGACTTGGAAACCATAATTACCTATATCTATATGATTGCAGTAACTGTGCAGTCTAACCTAGACTATGCTAATTTTCAAAGTTCCTAACATTGAGGAGGACGAGGAGGAGGGGTAGGGGGCTTATAACTTGCGTCAAAACCCTTCTATTTCTTTCCCATTGAAGAATTATGTTAGTTTCAGTAGTGATTGAGTTGGAAACAATCTATGTTCAACTAAGTTTATGTATTTAACTCACACCGCCTTTCCAAAAGACAAGTATAATGTCATCTTTCTTAAAGTAGAGTTTAAGTATATCATCGAGTAGAGTTATGTTTTTTTTTTTTTTTGATAAGTTATTAATTTATAACTAGGAGAAGTTATACTTGGCTGAGTATTTTGTTGACCAATATGGCTTTACAAATGCATGTTATAGATAAAGACAATTAATCTATTTGCGACGATAGCATTATTGTTTTCGTGTCGACCATGTATCCCTTTTTAGGAATTTGCATTGGATTTTAGTCTCGTCCTGTACTTGTACGATGCTACATAGGCGATGCGTGTAAATTTAAACAAATAGAATAAAATCTCCTGTGTATCTGCACCCAGTGAGATGGAACTCGATAGAAACTAGAAAAAATGGATTAACGCGGCCTGGCACTTGCCTATAAGAGTTCAGCAAGATTTGTTAAAGATTGATTTGTGTCAGTCTAGATTCTCTCTTGAAAAACCTTCTGGGTTGTTTTGTTGTTAACATGTGATTCAGGACTCAAAAACATTTTCTTCCTCAATGCGTGTGTTGAACGCTAATCATGTTTCCCTCTTATTACATCACTTTTAGTGAATTGAATGTTCCATGAGACTCTGAACTTCTTTTTTTTCCTTTTCTTTTTGCAGCTCTGTTCCAGATAATCAGGACAGCCACAAGCGGCGGGGCGGCATGAGGTGGAGACGATCACTGATGACTGAGGTGCGCATTTAGAAGAGTATATACATCATGAGTTCCGACTCTTTAACCTTGTGCGAACTTCACTATCCTAATGTAAGGGCAAAAAAGTTTATAGGGGGAGAAAGGACGAGTTGGTGTGCAATGTAATGCTAATTCTTGAGATGTTAAACTAGGTTTTGTTGTGAAATAAAGTGGAGAGTTTGTCGTCTTATTTGCTGTCGTGCGTTCGTTTTCACCTCTTTGTTGTCTGTGGTAAGTGAGCAGAAGCGATGATGTAACTGGGTAGAGCTCGGCAAGACAGATCGGTTGATGTTTGAATTCAGTAGGATTTATTTGGGTAGTACTCTATTTTGGTTTTAAGTATTGAATTCTTTAAAGCCGTGCTTGCATCTTTATCAAGGTTTAGCAAGATCGATCTAAGTTCGGTACAATTTATTTGGGTGGTACTCTGTTTTGGACGAATGTCGTTGAATACTTTGTGACCACTTTAAACACAAGCGGCTGCCTCTGTTGGACCATGATTACGTTACTAAGGTGCACTCAAAAGCAACATAAGACTCATACCCTAATCTTAACTCCACATAATTTATTCTTGCTTTCTGATTGTCAATTTCACCTTGGATTCCTCCCTTTTATAGACCCTAATTTCAAAATCACACCCACTTTTTCTTCCTAATTGAACCTATTACCTAAATTTAAGTTTCTCAATTGCCTTCTCCATGTCAGCAAATCCTTGGCAAGAAAATTTTTTTTGAAAATCGATATCATGTGCGACCACATGAGAGAATCTCGTCATAAAATTGGCTGGCAAAGAAAAATAGGCCTTGTCGCCTCTTTGAAATGTTTAAAATCCTTAAATGAACTACAGTCAAAATGGAGAAATTATTTTGGCCGCCAAAGAAAAATAGACCTCGTCGCCTCTTTGAAATGTTTAAAATCCTTAAATGAACTACAGTCAAAATGGAGAAATCCTTAGATGCTCATGGAGCATATAAGTGTTAGGGGGACATGTATCGCTAGAGAGGGAGAATGTGATGTCACATTCTCCCCTCTAGTGCCACATATAGCCCCTTTCTATTAGAACGTTGTAGGTATCTTGTCTACTCTATGTATAAACAAGAATTTCTCGTCAAAATGAACCTACCAATCTAGTAATTTAGCCCATAAAAACCCTTCTGTAGGACAAAAAATAACACTCTCTTTAAAAGCCAAGGAAACCAATCAGCAAACGAACCTACAAAGGACGAATGCGAATCAAATAAGCCTGTTTTGACTTATTGTCACCTTACATTGATTTTGCTTTCATAGACGCCACATATTGCTTAATTAATACCAAGCTTCTAAGACACTAAGAGAAATTAATGATCGAGAATCTAATACATATAGCAAACAAACAAAAGAAGTCATTATAACCTAGGCCGAACTTCACATTCGCAACACAAATCACTTTTAAAGTAACACATATTTCTAACTTCATGTATAATTTAACAAATTAACTTCTCTCCAACTAATAACATCTTACCTACTAATGACATTAATTGCAAGCCCTATCGGTGGGGGGGGGCCAAAAAAAAAAAAAAAAAACAATCATTTCCTATATAACCTCAACCAATCTAACGGCCAACAATCCTCCTCAAAAGAACAACCAACCACCCAGATCACGCCACGTCGACAGGGTTGGCAAGGAACAGCAGCGACGACCTCTCCCTCCCTCCGATCCTCTCGTAACAATCAATCGAGAACAAGGAAAGGGAGAGAGACAGCGACAGGGAAAGCTGGGCCGGATCCTCCCCCTCTCTACCCACCCGACCCGGCCCAGCCGGTCCAGCACCGGCCCCACGCACACCCGGTAAAGCCGCCTGTAGCCGCCCAAGGCGGTCACCACGCCCCTCGCGCCCGGCCCCCCTCCTCCACGTGCCGGTTGCAGACCACCTCCCATACGCTGTCCTGCGACACACGTTACTCACAGCCTGCACACGCACGCTGCCACGCCGAGAGACCTGCCGTCGAGCCGGCTCAATATCTCCGCCAAGATGTCGACGTTGTCATTTATGGGCATCGTTGTCATTTCACCTTTTTCCCTTTGAGGAGGAGGAAGGAGAAGGGAGGGGAGGAGATGGAGATGGGGGTATTTATGGAAGAGTCGTGAGAGGGGGCATTTTGGGAATGGGAAGGGGCCAAGGAGGAAGCTCCAAGCCGAGGGGGGTGTTGGGATGCGTACGCTGGGAAGTTTGGGAGTAGGGGTAGATTGGGAATAGGGGGGTTTTGTTCGGTAGCTGTTAGGTTTTGTTGAAGGGTGTGCTGTAGGTGTTGACGATTTATGTGTTCCCAGAATGCTCCTGTGAAAGGGATGATTTTTTTATTCCTAGAACGCCCCTAACGTGGATGCATGGACTTTCGCCTTCTGCGGTGTACGGAGAGGGATATGTGACCAGTGACCTTGAATTGTTGTGCCCGTAGGAGAGCGTAGGTGCGGTGGTCCTACTTACCCTGTGGTGTGGAGCGCTAAAAAAAAGGGTTTTTTTTTTCCGTAGTTTTTTCCCCATAGAAATCACCAATAAGATCGTATCGAAAAATGCTAGCGATGGTCACGAGTTGGCTGTAGGCCATATATCTTCGCTAGCATTCCTCCAATATTGTCATTACGTACGTAGAAACCATATTTAATTGTTAATTTATATGTAAATCACCTTTATGCGGTATTTTATTGCATTAATCAACCACATGAGCACAATCTTAAGCCATGTTTTCTAGGCTTTGCTATAATAATCAGTTGCTAAATATCAAGCGTATTAGAGAGACGATCCTTAATTGATATTGATGTGACATGGTCTATTACAGAAAAAACCTTGATTGAAAAGTGGACCGGGTGGTTGGTTGTAACAAAAAATCATTTAAATGTGGTTTATGCGGAGACTGAAAATTAAAGATGGTTTCTATAGAATTGACCCTATTTTGAAGGGGTGCATGGTTTCAAAAAGGAAGACACCTCTGGTGTCTAATCACAGTTCGAATATTAATTAGGAGGACCACTGGGGGCAATATTGTTGGTGCAAACTCTAGCTACGCAAGGTATGAGCTTCTCTAATTCATTTATACTATTATTTCCGGATGATGGTGGCTAGAGCATGATAATGGGATGAATAGGAAGCATGTCATATTAATCTACAATGGAGATGGGCTTCTGGAATGGTAGGGGGCCCCTTAAGCAGAAATTGATTAGCAGATTTGTACATAAATGGAAACATTCTGTTTTTGCATTATTGGATACTAGAGTAAAGCATGCCAATGCTCAAGGAATTATTGATAAATGGTTTAAGGGTGAAAATGTGTTCCTAATTACCAAGAGGCTATTAATGGCACGTAGAATACAGCTTTTACGGGATCCAATGATGCTTTCTGTTTCTATTCTTCATTCAAATGGTCAAGGTATCCGTTGTGTTGTTCATGATATGGTGGATGTGATGAAATTTAATTTGACAGTGATATATGCTTCTAATTGCCTTTCGCGGAGAGAAAGTTTGTGGAGTTTGATAGAAGGATATAATGTGCATGAGCCTTGGATGCTGTTGGGTGATTTCAACAATGTATATATATATATATATATAAATAATCTATTATTTTGTGTATATATATAAAGTTAAATGTGATCCCATCTATTTTATTATGGCATAACATATAATATGATTTGATTTCATACAAGATATTTAAAAATAAATTAGATTTCACATAAATGTGATTGGCGGTTTTGGTTTCATGCAAACTCAATTAATTATGAATAATGCTTATTTGAAAGCCTTTGAAGAAAAAAATAATAATTTGAAGGTGTCGTAACAGTTTGTGGATTCAAAGATTTTCTGTGACTTAATATTTGATTAAAAATAGAGAAAAGTAAAATCTGTAAACTATTTTAACTGAGGTAATGAGATTTACGCTCGTCCACTCGATTTAAAGTATTTGTAATTTTGGTAACTGAACATACCAATAATATTTTTGGTGAAAATGACGTGTTTTGAAATAAAATGATTTGACGAGCAATGTGGTTTTGGAAACAAGCAAATTGATAAGTGATGTGTTTTGAAGTCAAAATAAGTTTACAAAGGATGTGTTTCCGAAATCAAGCTATTTAACAAGCAATTCTTGATGTTTTCAAACCCTCGGAAAATCCACTATGGAGTGATGTGTTTGTGCCTGCAATATGGTTAGAATGCATATTTATGTGACCCGTTATGGGTATTTGTGATGTGGCCTTCTGGCATTTGTGATGTGGCCCCCTTTTTGGGCGTTTGTGATGTGGCTGACAGCCTATGACAGAGTTAGATGCATTATATTCTCGGGAAATATGTGATATGTGATGTCTTTTGGCATTCCCATGCTACTGGGCTATAATTCGTAGCCTTAGTGTGACTTATGAGGTGATTCTTGCATTTCATGAATGTTCTCATCGATATTTGTGATGTTGAGATTTTAGTGTGAATCCGAGAAAATAATGATATTTTGGCTTTACACAAATTTAATAGTTCATTTTCTTCCTTGGTAATTGCTTGTTTTCAAAGAGAGTTTGATTTTGGAATATGTTACCACAATTCTGGAATACCTTACGGTATATTTAACTTGCACTTTCTTTCTTGAAAATAGCAATAGTACGTTAGAGCCTTGGATGATGATGGGTGATTTCAACAATGTTATTTATCAAGCAGAAAAAAGTTGTCCAATGTTCCAGTTACAGATTCTGAAGTAAGTGGTTTGGTTGATATTATTGAATATCTTAATTTAGTTCATATGAGGAGTTTGGGTTGTTCGTTCACTTGGACTAACAAACAAACAAGATGCACAACAAAGAGTTTGGTCTTGTATAGATAAAGTTCTTACTAATGATTTATTTATGTCTGCAAAAATATGAGACTAGCCAAGTAGATTTTTACGTGCCTCTACGCACTAGTAGAAAAACGACCAATCTAGACGGAAAAAATTTCTGTCTAGGTTAAATCAAACTAGACGGAAATTTTTCGTCTAGGTTGATCCGTCTAGTTTGGATCAAACTAGACGGAAAATTCCATCTAGTTTGTCAAACGAGATGGAAAAGTCAACCTAGACGGAATTCCGTCTAGGTTGACAGGCAACCTAGACGGAATTCTGTCTAGGTTGCATGGGCAACCTAGACGGAATTTCCATCTAAGTTGACCATGTAACCTAGACGGAATTCCGTTTAGGTTGTGGCAACCTAGATGGAATTTCCGTCTAGGTTGCATGGTCAACCTAGATGAAAATTCCGTCTAGGTTGAGGCAACCTAGATGGAATTCTGTCTAGGTTGCCTAGGGCAACTTAACTTTTGCAATTGGCACAGCCGCCACCCCCCATTCTCTCATTCCTCTCTTCTTTACTCTTTCCCCCTCCCCCCCTCCCCCTTCCCGACCCCCCTACTCCGGGCCCCTCCGACCTCCTCCCCGTCCCTGTCGGCGCCCCCCGACCTCCAGCTCCCGACCCCCTTCCCTAGAGCCCCCCCCCCCCCCATCCCCCTCCCCCCTCCCCCTCGACACCCTCCTTCCCCCTCCCGACTCCCCCTCCCCTCGGCAGCCCCCTTCCCTCTCGCTCGGCGCCCTCCCTCCCCCCTCCAGAGCCCCCCTTCCTCCTCCCCCCTTCCGGTAGCCCCTCCCCCACTTCCCCTCCCCTCAGTAAGCCCCCTCCCCTCGGTAGCCCCCTTACCCTCCTCTCCCTCCCGCCACCCCGCCTTCCTCGAGCCCCCACCCCCCCGGTAGCCCCCTCCCCTCCGACCTCCCCCCTTCGCGTTAGCACCCTCGCGCCCCCCTCCCTCGTCCCGACCGTTCCCCTCACGGTAGCCCCCTCGGCAGCCCCCTCCCCCCCTGGAGCCCTCTTCCCCCCCTCCCTCTCCGCAAACCCCCTCCCCCGGCAACGCCCCTCCCCCGTAGAACCCTAGAGGGGGGGGGGTAATTAGGGTCTTATGCTAATCTAATCCGATTAAAATGCCAATAAAAACTAATTAATAAGTTATCCTAGCAAGTATTAAAATCACAGATACGTAAGCCTAGTGATAAGCAATTGAACAAATGAATATATCCTCATCAATTTAGATATTACAAATATTATGAGCAAGGATATATGAAATAACACTAAGGGCTAAAATAAACATCTACACAAGTGATAGGAATGGTAATATATGATGAGCAATACACAAGGCGATATAAGATATGAAACATGAATAAAGAACGCCAATGCCAATCACAAACAAAACGATTATATTTACGAGTTCGGTCCCACGACCTACAGTCCCCTGCTCTCTCACCTCAGAGAATCTCCACTATCACAAGGCCGGTTTTCTCGTTCACGCGAACAACGTTTAACACCTCACCAATAACATCACTATGTAATCACTAACTCACCACTAAATGTTGTTAGACCGCTGTCCTCCTCCGTCAATGCTCGGTTACAACACCTCTCCCTAGGCACGAGCAACCGACGCCACTCGCTCTTGGATTCGACCCCGTTCTCTCAACCACACACTTCTCTCGGTGATACAAGATTGAGATTACAAGGTGAACTCCACTAGCACAATAAGCACAATGATAAATCAAAATGATTGTTCTCTAAACAAGGTGAGAACTCAATTAAGCTCACTCTCAATGTCACAAACCCACAACCCTAAATTATACTATGAATGTAAATACAATAAGCTCAATAGGTTGTGTGTGAACAAAGAGAGAAAAACAATATAAACTCAATATAAAATCTAGCTTATGAAATTAAGAACAAAACTTATAAAATGCTAGAATTGAGTTTAAGGAAACTTCTCTATAGATGACAAGAGAGAGGGAGAAGAGTGATTGCTCAAACACCAAATGATGATCTCCATTTGCTCTTGTGAAATTGTCTTCACAAACCAAAACACTCAAATACTTAAAAGCTTCTTAAACCAAACTTAAACAAACACTAAACAAGTTTAAACCCTTGTTAAAAAAACTTCTTTAAAAACTTCTTGGCTACATGAAAAGAGACCAGCAATTTGGTATTTATACCCACCCAAGATCTCAACAAAAACCCCAAAACAAATGACAAAACAGCCCCCAGAGAAACAGCTCAGAAATAGCCGTTAGTAGCCAACGGCTATATTGTCGGTCGACCGGAAATTCTGTCGGTCGACCGATTTGAGCTCTCGGTCGACCGGACCGGTCGACCGACGACTCTCTGGAAAAATACTGACGAATGGTCAATTGACCGGTCGACCGTACCGGTCGACCGAAAATTGACATTTCCAGAAAAAATCGTTTATAGGAGCTGAATATTTAAAACACGTTTTAAAATATCAAATAAATGCCAGAAAATGCTGTACAAACTTTGGGAAGATTGTAGACAATGATAATTACCACATGCTAACAAAAACTTGCGTTTTCTAAAAAAAGACATTCCAATGAGATAAA